ATTCCTCTGTACACATTTAAATTTACATTCATCTCAGGTGCGTGTGTGTGTGTAATAAAATACAAACATTCATATTAGTCCATATTGTAAAATTATCACAATAAATGTCACATAATTATTTAAGACTGAAAAATAAAGTAAAGCAGAGGAGGAATAAATTGTCTCTGATTTATTTTCTGCTGACCCTGGAGCAGTCTTGTAAATCCTCTGCTGTCCTCTCAGTATGGTCCAGTCTTCAGTTTCACCATGGTGGGGAAAACGTTCACGTACCTGCTGGGCAGCGAAGCAGCGACGCTGCTGTTCAACAGCAAGAACGAGGACCTGAACGCAGAGGACGTCTACTCCAGACTGACCACCCCGGTGTTTGGCAAAGGGGTCGCCTATGACGTGCCGAACCCCGTGAGTCGTATTTACAAGAATAAAAAACAACAAAAGTTCTGACTCTGTATCAAATCAGCTGTTACACACACTTTCTGTCACATGTTGCAGATCTTTCTGGAGCAAAAGAAGATGTTGAAGACTGGACTGAACATCGCTCGTTTCAAAGAACACGTGAAAATCCTCGAGACAGAGACCATCGAGTATTTCGAGAGATGGGGAGACAGCGGAGAGAGAAGTAAGATCATTTGCAGATCACTTTATCACTTCAAACTATATATTTAAACGTTGAATCAGACTGATTTGGATTGTTGCTGTCACGTCAGACCTGTTCGAGGCCTTGGCCGAGCTGATCATCCTGACAGCCAGCAGCTGCCTCCACGGGAAGGAGATCCGTAGCATGCTGGACGAGCACGTGGCTCAGCTCTACGCCGACCTGGACGGAGGGTTCAGCCACGCTGCCTGGCTCCTGCCCGGCTGGCTGCCTCTGCCCAGCTTCAGGTGGGACACAGTCAACGCCAAACCTGCAACAGGATATGAAAGAAAGACAAATCCCTGAACAAGGGCAATGACACATTTCAATACAAGCAAAGTTAAAAAACTAAAGATTTGAATTACCTTTTCCAGGAGGAGGGACCGAGCTCACAGAGAGATCAAGAACATCTTCTTCAAAGTGATTCAGAAACGCAGGAAATCTGGAGAGAAGACTGACGACATCCTTCAGACGCTCGTTGATGCCACCTACAAGTAAGACACCTTCACTCACGTGTGTCAACATCTCAATCTGTCTGAACAAATCCCTAAACTGCACCATTTCTAAACCCCTCCCCCCAAAAGAGATGGACGGCCCCTGAACGACAGCGAGATTGCGGGGATGCTGATCGGTCTGCTCCTGGCAGGTCAGCACACGTCCTCCACCACCAGCGCCTGGCTGGGCTTCTTCCTGTCCAGAGACAAATCTCTGCAGGAGCGCTGCTACGCTGAGCAGAAGGCCGTGTGCGGAGAGGACCTGCCTCCTCTGGACTTCGATCAGGTAAGAAAGGAATCCCTGTGGCGTCCCCCCCCTCCTGGCTGTAGAGCTGTACTGCAGTAACCAACCAGTGACGGTGTGATGAAGTGGTTAGGTTACTACAGTGGATCAAGTTACACATTTAAGCCCACTGAATACACCTCCCCCCCCCCTGTCCTTTTCAATTTATTGGATGAATTTATAACTTCCTCAGTAATTCTTACAAATATTCTTCAAATAAAGGCAACATTAGAAAAAAGTATTTTCTCATACATTGTCCTGGTGTCGTCTGCAGCTGAAGGATCTCAGTTTGTTGGACCGCTGTTTAAAGGAGACCCTGCGTCTGCGTCCGCCCATCATGACCATGATGAGGATGGCTCGTTCTCCACAGGTGAGTCCATCTGGCCGAGCTACGCATCATTGATTTGTCTCAGTGCCGAGTTCCTCCCTCTGGTACAGAACTCTTCATGTAACGTGTTTTCACCCTTTATTTTCCTCAGACTGCTGCAGGCTACACCATCCCTGTGGGACACCAGGTCTGCGTCTCGCCGACGGTCAACCACCGTCTCCTCGACACCTGGTCGGAGAGGATGGAGTTCGAACCCGACCGCTACCTCAATGACAACCCTGCTGCGGGGGAGAAGTTTGCCTACGTGCCATTTGGAGCCGGTGAGAAGAATAAACTTAAAACTGAATATTTTGTATGAATTAGTAAAATTGTAGTTGAACAATATAGATTTT